ATGTGTTTTATAGATATGTTTACAATATTAATTACACATTAGACCAGAAGTGCCACTGAGTGTTCATTATATAAACTCTTCATTAAGTTTGAAGTGATGCAATATGACTTATAAGTGGACATTATCACACAGAAGTAACTTCCTACAGCAGCAGCTCAGTCTCACCTCTTCTTCCCAGAGTACCATTCAATAAAGAACCAGTGCAACACAAGAGGCAACATGGCCATAAATCCCAGATAGAGCCAGTCATAGATCTCCGGAGACTCGATGCAGCGCTCACACACTTTCTGCATGCTGGCCCGCTCTCCTCGAGGACAAACCTGCCAAAACACATTATTGTGAGTAAAATCTTAATCTCATCCAAATCCACTCTTAAAGTTGTCTTTCATTTAATTGCGCTGCTATATTCATTCAAATCCACCATTCATGCTTTTTTAATACTTTCAATACAAAAAATCTGAATGAATTCAGAGTTTTATTTTAACCATTTTTAATCATCAGTATCAGTTTATGAGAGAAAACAGAACAACTGAACTTTACAACTTAACAGTTACAGTTACTCCTTTGTGCTTACAACATATAAAAGTAGTAAAATTAAAAACGTGATGACCTCAGATTACAGAGGTGACTATAAAAACGACTGACCAGTCGCAGGCGTCACAGCTGGTTTATTTAACGCTTTCTCTGGTGTGTGGGGAGACGTTGACATGCAGAGTTTGAAACAGTAGTTTTACAGCATGTTTTGCAAGTTACTGCATTTTGTTCAGCATCATCCTTGTGAAAACGAGTCAACAGCGAGTCTCGTTCACTCGCTCGTCTGTCACCATATTTTTCCCTAACTGGTAGAACATAAAGACGCATGCTCAGCACAGTGGGCCAGGTGGAAAATTTTCCAGTGGGAGGGGGGGGGATTAATGATGCATTTGCAGCGTGTGGGAGGAAAAAATGATTCATTATCTATTTCCATCCATCCATTCGCTTCCGCTTATCCTTTTCAGGGTCGCGGGGG